TTTGCTTTTGAACTTGTTTAAAAAACTTGTAAACGTCTTCTTTTTTTTTGTACAGTTATATAACGAGCATGCGTCGTTATATTTAGGCTTTAGTTGTAATGATTAATGCGCGGGTGAATTTCAGTATCCGTTCAAGTATTGTATGTATACTATTCCAACGCTTTTGCTTAATTTGATTGCTGTGTGTTCAAGATATTTTTTTGGGTTGTTGACAAAAATTAGCGCAAAATAGATAGACTATTCCGAGGAGGGAAAAAACGAGAACCGCACCGCACGAAGCACACAAACACACTGTCTGAAATGCTGCTACGTCCTGTGTATTTAAAAGATACAACAAGAGCGCATATGCACACAAGGCATACGCCGCCAAACAAGCTGCCTGCTCTCGTTTTTTCTCCCGCTCTCGCTCTCCCTTTCTGTCGTACAGACCGGCCGCTGTTCGCTCGCTTATCACTCGCTCATGCTCAAGCCGCTGTCACTGCCCCCTCTCTTTCACACACTCTCTCAACATGTGCTCTCTCGTTCTGTCGTGTATGCAGTACACTGAACAAAAAAGCACGGCGGCATTTGTACAGCAGCAGTTAGCAAAGTAGAGAAGAGAAGGCAACAACAACATTGGGCAGGTAGCGGAGGCGAGAACAAAATAACAAACGCCGCCCCAGCCCCCGTCTGTACGACCCACCAATAACGCCCGCTGACCGACTCTACAAATAATTTTGCAATAATTTTTTGATAAAATAATAAAATATTTATAATATAGTCTCAGTTTTAGCGCGTTTACAAATATACAAATTGTTCGTATATGCGTACGATATTTGGTATATCTGTATGCCTTGTCTGATTATATTTCGGTATTTTGTATTTTTTGATTTCTAACTGACCACCGATATGTGTACCCGTTGACGGCTCGTACAAGACTAAACCTACCATCGCACACGGACCGGCTACAGATTGCAAGCAGTGTGTTCTTGTGCAGCTTAAGCATCTTAGATATTTGCTTATTGCTCATAAATCTTTATTTGAATGGATTCCAAACCTATGCTAATTGTTAGTATAAACACTCCTCTTTCATTAGGTATCTCATGGATGCAGCTACGATCAAGCTGAAATCCAAAATTGACACCTCGAGTGGGTTTCTTGACGAATCCCATATAAAATGCGCTTGCTGCTCGTGAGTGAGTACAGGCACAGCCAACGGCGACGTCAACAGCATGTTTGGCGGTAAATTTGAAAATTGCCGGCCGCGGCGGTTGGCTTGCCCGTTACGATTCTTGTTGGTGGTTGTTGAACACCATGGAGGGCTGCTTGACGTGTCGGCTTCGGTGGCAGGGGCTTGGAGCTGGACAGCTTACTGGCTGGCTGGCTGGATAGCTGGTTGGCTGTCTGGTTGGTGGGGAGGGCCCACACGGCAGTTGTATGGCAACAACAGTCGCAGCGACTGCGACGGTGGCAGAGGCAGCGGCTGGCCGGGCAACTTTGGCGTTCTGTCGCCGCGTCAGTTGCGCGTCTGTGGCGTGTATATGTTCTGGCTGTTGGATTGCATACTCAGCGGCAGTGTGTGTTTGGCTTATTGTTTGTGCCACAACATATTTATAGAGTGGACCTAAAAACATGCGAGTAATCAGGTCAATTGGATGACTGAAGATACCTAATGCCCATCATCAAGTTTTTCTAAACTAAGAAAATATATGTACATATGTACTATAAATATGTTATTCTAAATGTGAGCCAGATGTTAAATTAACTTGCAAAATTGTGAATTGCAACGCGCTGTTAATATACATAGATACATTCATTTGCATTGTTGTGAATTACATTTGAACAAGGTTCACCCCGTTTCTCGTACTTTTCATGCATGTATGTGTGTGTCTTTTTTGAGCATTTTGCATCTTTCATTTCTTTTCAGTTGATCCCACACACATTTGATGGTTCGACAATTTGCTGTCTCTGTTCATTACACGAACCACACTGGTTTAGGAATTGACTAATGAGCTAACGTTCTACGCTCTATTGTCGCTTAGCTAGCCACTCTCTCTCTCTCTTTGCCTTTGTCTCTTCTCAATCTCGCTCTCTACTTTACTTATTTGAACTACTGCTGCTGCTAGGCTGCCACAGTCAACGTTTTTCTGCTATTTTTATGCAAAACAAATAAGTATAGTTTGTAATCTGAATAATATGAGAGCTGCACACAAAACGTTAATTAAAAGCGACGCCACGTTCTCCTCGCGAATTGGTTGGATGACAGTCGTCTATGGGCCGCGTCTACCAGTTTCTAGCGCTCTCCAGCACGCCACATTCAGCACACCTGTAATCGTGGAACAATCATATTGAGTTATCATATTTAAACAGCGTAGCAGCGGCAGCAGCTACTCGTCGTTCCACGGCAAACAACATTTGTGATTTTGCTTGCTTTTGTTTTTGAGCCTTAACATTTCTCGATAAGCCGATTTGCGTCTTCGTTTGTCTTTTTGTTTTTATCTTTATTCTTTTTAGTCCATTTTTGGAGCTCGACTCTCTTGTTAGTTTATGTATGTGAGTTTTATCAGTGCTTAAAGCTATTGTTTCAATATTACGATTCATGAACTCAGGACAGTTGAACGGCTTACCCGATTCCATGTTTTCCCTGATTCCCTGTATGACCACGAGTTTTCAAGGTTAAGTATAGAGGCACTACAATAAAACTAAAAACAACCCATATTCCAGCCGGTCAACTGTCGGTTGCTTCACAGAATTGCGATAAGAAAGGTGCAATCGTTTACACTCAGGCAACAACGACGGGGAGGAAAATTCTAGAGGTAGTCAAAAAAAGAAGGAAGAAAAACCAAGTACATATTTTTCTCAGGTAATCGCAACTATGTTTCGACTAGATAGAGATAGCAATAGACATGTCAGATAAAAGCCCTTTACAATATATATAATACATTTTAAGCTTTTTAGTTACTCAAACTTTTTGCGCAGTGTATGAACACAGTGCGTATGTTTGCTGTAGCATGCAACGAAAAGGTGTTAATCAAAGCAATCGATTCTCTTATAAGCGTTTTTGCTGCCTATATGTGTGTATGTACATATGTTTGTAGGTATTTGCGCTGTTTAACAAAATTGTAAAGATTTTGATTAAGATTTGCTGATAGTAGATCTATGTAACAAACTTGTATATATGTACATATGTATATACTTATATACATATAATATAAATCCTTTACTCAAATAAGTATTTAGTGCAAAGCACTCAATGTGTAAATGTAAATAGACTGAGTTAAATACATACAAATGATTTTAGCTATGGAAAATAAAGGTGAGAAAAGTGTGAAAAACTTGCAAAGTTGTATACATACATACATAAATGCATATATGCATATAGACAATGTATTTTTGCCTAATGTGCAGTATGTATAATATACATACAAATATAATTGAAATTATTCTTTATGTTAGGCCAATACATGGTCTTATGAGAATACCCTATAATGTGCACAGCATCTAGGGAGCCATTCTGGCCGATTCATTTCAGAGTTCATATCACTTAGGATTGTTTGTGTGAAGAGTAGAAAAGAACTAAAAATCATGAACTGGTTTGGCCGACGCGAGCAGAGAGCCTCAACCGAGGGCAACTTCGACTACTGTTGGGGAGAGCTACTCTGATAAGCGTCGCTATATGGAATTTACAAAACGAAACGCTAGCTGCTGTTCCTCTGTATTATTATTATTATTTAGACGTCGCTGCGGTCGCTCAAGTCGCGTTTCGCTAGCATGTGCGAATGTTTAATGTTTCCACACGAGTGCAACGATTAGCTGAATGCCCTACGCTCAGAGAGAGTGACTGAGTGAGAGAGATAGAGATAGATAGCGAGAGAGTCTACGTCAGCGGACATTTCACACGCAAATATTCAATTTACTTTGACGGTTTTGGTTTCAGTATCGAGAGTACATGACCCAAGTATGTGTTATCTTTCCGTCATGGAGCTTATTGTTTTTATTCTTTGGCGATTGCTTTGATTGTGCTGAGCGATGATGCGGCCCCCTCACCTCCCTTAAAAAGTGTCACTTGACGCATTGGCTCGGGATCGGCAGCGCCAGCGGCAGCCGACTGAGAGTCTCAACTGCAATGCATTCGCATAGGCCTCTTCTGGCTGCGTCGCGTGTTGTTGCTGTGCTTTTGTGTTGGCATCTGCGTCATGCATTTGGCTGCAATGGGAACGTTTTGCTGCGTGGGGATGGACAACGGGGGTTGGGCGGTGGTGCCGGTGGTGGTGCTGCTGCTGTCGTTGTTGTTGGTGGTGGTGGTCGTAGTTCTACCGACCCGGCGATTGGGTGAGAAGCACATGAATGAATCATTTGCGAAGAGCAAATGTTGGCGTCATTTCATATCTAGTTGTGTGTATTCATGTGAGAGACGAAAAAAAAATCTACACCAACTGTGCACAATTGCCTTAGAGAGCTGCGTTGTCATGTCATATCCATTCATTTATTCAATAATAATTACTCACACACACATACGTACACACACACATACTCATTGATTACAAAGTCGTTTGGCAAATGTTCAAATGTACATATTAAGAAATACATACATATGTAGTAAAATATATACATATGTGTATATTTGTATGCGCAATCAAAAATGTGTTAGCTACGTTAGTTAATAGTTTGCTGAGCACTCTTTCTTGTATTTTCATTAATTTTTACGTTTGCTTAAAAATATTCATATCTGTTTGAATTTGCCGCCATTTCAAACGAAATACGCTTTCACGTTGCTTTGCAGCACTACACTACACAACGCTGTTCAACACAGTTGACAGTGTTGCATGCGATATGCACAGCAAGTGGCCAAAATCCAATTGGAGGCAATTCAAACTAACTCAAGCGCTAGCCAGTAATTCAGTCTACCGCGAATCTTATTAACCTTATTTTAAAATCCTTTGCAGTTTATTAAAGGCGGGACTGCGTGGTTGCGGCATTATCTGGCGCGCATTGGCAACCCTAATCAAGCAACCCGCTTAATGACCTTGCGCTGACATTGCCGCACAGCTGTGGGTCAAGTCGCATTCGCACAAACGAAGTCTATCCAGAAGTTTGTTAGATACAATTTGGCAAGCATCAAAATGGCCTTCAATAAGCTGAGCATCGAGAATCTGGAACTGGAGGGAAAGCGCGTCCTTATGCGGTAGGTTTCATGATGATGAATCTTATATAGTGATCTGCATCCATAAGCTGAATGTTGCATAAAAGAAATTTTCTCTGCTTTTTTCCTGTTTCCCTTCAGCGTGGACTTCAATGTTCCCATCAAGGAGGGCAAGATTACGAGCAACCAGCGCATCGTAGCCGCTCTGGACAGCATCAAGTTGGCCCTGTCCAAGAAGGCCAAGTCTGTGGTGCTCATGTCCCATCTGGGTCGTCCCGATGGCAACAAAAATCTGAAGTACACCCTGGCGCCCGTCGCCGAGGAGCTGACCAAACTGCTTGGCCAGAAAGTAATATTTTTGGATGATTGTGTGGGCCCCGCCGTTGAGGCTGCCTGCCAAGATCCTGCACCCGGCTCCGTCATCTTGCTGGAGAACGTACGCTTCTACCTGGAGGAGGAGGGCAAGGGTGTCGATGCCAGCGGCGCCAAGGTGAAAGCCGATCCCGCCAAGGTCAAGGAATTCCGCACCAGCCTGGCCAAGCTGGGCGATGTCTATGTGAACGACGCCTTCGGCACGGCGCATCGTGCCCACAGCTCCATGATGGGCGAGGGCTTTGAAAAACGTGCAGCCGGCTTGCTGCTCAATAAGGAGCTGAAGTACTTCTCGCAGGCACTGGACAAGCCACCAAATCCCTTCCTGGCCATTCTGGGCGGCGCCAAAGTTGCCGACAAGATTCAGCTGATCGAGAATCTGCTGGACAAAGTCAATGAGATGATCATTGGCGGCGGCATGGCCTTCACCTTCCTGAAGGTCCTTAACAACATGAAGATCGGCGGCTCCCTGTTTGACGAGGAGGGCTCCAAGATCGTCCAGAAGCTGGTGGACAAGGCCAAGAAGAACAATGTTCAATTGCATTTGCCCGTCGATTTCGTCTGTGGCGACAAATTCGCCGAGAATGCTGCCGTGAGTGAGGCCACCGTGGAGGCGGGCATCCCGGACGGCCACATGGGCTTGGATGTGGGACCCAAGACGCGTGAGCTCTTCGCCGCGCCCATTGCGCGTGCCAAGTTGATTGTGTGGAACGGGTAAGTTAAACTGAACTTGGGAATCTTCCAAGGCATGTCTGATGATTCTCCTTCCTCGTAGACCACCCGGCGTCTTTGAGTTCCCCAACTTTGCGAACGGCACCAAGGCCATCATGGATGGCGTTGTAGCAGCCACCAAGAACGGCACTGTCTCCATTATTGGCGGCGGCGATACCGCCTCCTGCTGCGCCAAGTGGAACACCGAAGCGCTTGTTTCGCACGTCTCCACCGGCGGCGGCGCCTCCCTGGAGCTGCTCGAGGGCAAGACACTGCCGGGCGTTGCCGCCCTATCCAATGCCTAAGCGGCGTCAGAAATTCATTATCCAGGACACTAATCTCTCTCTGAATTAATTGTTAATGTTAATGTTGTCATTGCTGCGCCAGGCACCGCTTATCACGTAAGACCCCCAAAAGTTCAATAATAAAATAAATATATAATATAGGGCTTCATGGCCGTATACTCATAACATAGCAAATTAGAGTCCATTCGAAATGAGACTGAGTAAGTGAGTGAAGGGCGTAAAACATGTTGAGAGAGTTGGAGTTCGCATGGACTCTAGGTCTCATAGTTCACTTAATTCAGTAAAAATAGTGAGAATAAATAATACCTAAGGCGGAATACAAAATTTAACCGATGCATATAGGCGTCGAGTCACACGAGTTTTTACATTGCATATACATACATACATACAAATGTACATTCGTATCAAAACTTTATATTTGCTCGGCTCAGTCGCTTGAGGCTCAAGCAGTGATATCAATATCGATAGTATCGATTGTTCCATCGAAAATAGCGCCAACATTCGAAATTGGGGAAAATTACGAGAAAAATACATTAATTTTATAAACACTAATTCTTAATAAATTAAATAAAAATCATTTGTTGTCTTAATTCATAAAAATAATATTTGTATTTTAGTTTTTTATAAAAAGTCTTATCTTAAAACTAAAATTCATAATTTGCGTTGAATTCATTAAGGTTGATATTTATCTTACAACAAAATAACAAAAAGCTTAGCTTATAAAAAAAAAAAAAACAAAGTTTGATTAACATTAACAATAGTTTTGAACTTAAAACTGAATATCATTAAATATTGTGGGATCAATTGTATAGCCAATTATTCAACTTTTTTTTTTTTTTTTTTTTTTTTTTAGCAATTTCACAGCTTTTGGCTTTGGGCTGCTTCTCTTGTGTACAGTATTTCTCCTGCTTTATTTAAAATCCTTTCGGATTCCTTGGAGCTAGCAATGATTCAAATTGAATGGAATTAATCTGGAAGATAATGTAGGATTAAAAATATAAAATAAATATATGTATGACAAATTTACCTTTCAATAATTCAGTAGACTTGTATTGTGAGATGCATTATGCTGTTCCAGATATTGCCTCATGGATATTTGGCGACTCTCCTGCTGGTTTTCTTCTAATCATTAATTTCTTCTGTTATAAATTTAAAGAAGCAATCTTGTTGAGTGGCGGTTGGCCGATACCAACATACAACTATAAAGTACAAAATATATCAAATTGTTTGTGTAAATTTGAATTAAATATTATTAATAATTTTATTAAAAGCGTATGAGCTTGACGTCTGTAGCGAATTATGGACATCGAGGAAATTCCATCGAGCTATCACACAGCAGAAACTTGATCGATACTTTATCGATACTTTTGATATTTGCATCGATGGTTTGCGGCACTACGGCGGGCATTCAAGTTTATTTATTTATCAGCGCTGTCATTTTTTGTTGAGTAAAACAGCTGGTTTTGTGGGAAGAACTAGAAAATAGCTGAAATTTTGTGAATTAATTACTTTTTTATAAAAAGTATATCATCTAATTTGTGACAATCATCTTTATCGTATGACTTCATATAGCCAATGATATTTAAATGTATTTTTGGCAACTCGTAGTCATTTTTTCAACCGCCACAGGTCGTATCTTTACAGCTTTACAATATATTTTTACCTGACACTTGCGTTAAGCATATCAATATTCATTGTCTTGCGTAGTAATGTTTTCATAGTATTGACCTGACTCAAAATTCTTTCCACTTGCTCGTTTGACCATGTCAAGAAAAGCATTTTCCCGCAATTGGATTTTCAAAAAAAGCCAGATTTGACCGGAAATATGCTGATTTGGCAACACTGTGCGCTTAGTTTTTCTTACTTTCTCTCTCTCTCTCTCTCTCTCTCTCTCTTCTCTCTCTCTCTCTCTCTGTCTCTCTCTCTCTCTCTCTCTCTCTCTCTCTCTCCCTTTCCCCTCTAGCATATTCCGAACTCTTGAAAGGGTTTGCCATGCCGACGCAAAACGTTAGCGTTCTCATGACATCTTACAAAATAATTCTGACAACATAAATAAAATAATGTTTCTAAATTCTAATATTAATAATCTAATATTAATTATTATTATGTAAGAACATGTTTTCGCTACGAAATTGGTCGGCCGTCTGATCTTTTTTTTTGCACACAGCGAAGCCACTCATATAGCCGAATTAATATTTATTCAATTCTTTTTCGCTCTGAGTCATATACGAGTGTAGTTATTGAATCATACAATTTCCGATTTGGCCTCGGTGCCACACCTCTCAATATGCGCATTGTCAATTCGGATTGACTTTTTTGGAACTCTAGCAGCCCTCTAATCTAAATAGCAATGCACACATGCATGTATAGCATATATAAATATTTACATATGTATGTATGGGTGTATTTAGGCCCTTTGTTTACCCCACACGTAATTATCGATCATTTACACGCCCATAACAAACACGCGTCCCATTTCCGCGTCCATTGGAGCTGCTCGCCGTTACGATTTACGCTGCTTCTGCTGTGTCGCTGCTGCTGCTGCTGCTACCATTGGCATTGGGGCCATGACGCTACTTGTTGCTGGGTTGTGTGCGCCTGTTCCCCAAACTGGATTTTGGGGCCTGACTGACCGCACAATTAAAACGGGACGGACAGGCATATTATATATA